AAGAGGGCCTGAAGAGTATTATGGCAGCTCCATTTCCCTCTCTGGGCCTCAATTTCCCTATCTTATAATGCAGGGAGCTCTGAGGAAACTTCCAGCAACAACATTGAATACCTCTATGATCCCAGTTCCCGGCACCATAAGGGAATTTAAATCCAACCTCTCCTCTTAAAAATATCTATTGAATCATCGTCCCTCTGCCTTTACAAGGTCACGCCCTGTGTTTCTGTGGATTTCTCTTGGGAGATGGGAGAAGGAAGGGAATATGATTCTAGCTTTGATTAGCCTTCGTTTTGGTTTAAACAACAGACAAATATCCAATTATCCCATTGACAATTACAGTATGCACATTTCACCGCAGGCGCAGAAAGCAACCCAGCAGCAGAAAACCAGCCACAGACCAAGGGTGTACACATGCAAGCCATTATCTACTTGGAGACAGGCTGGGCTGCAACGGCCCCACTGGCTCAGGGAAGCTGGGCGGGTCCTCGCCAGCAGGCCAGGGGCAACCCAGGAGGCCGCCTGCCACTAGCTGCAGCTGCATCCAGCCCTGGCTCGTTTCAGATTCCAGGCTGAACAGAAACATTGTGAGAAAGCGATTCCCTCACAGTGAGACACCCCAAATAAAAGCCCCAGGTTGTATACTTGCTACAAAACCAGGCCTGATCAAGCCAAGAGATAAATTAGTGAGTTGCACAAGGGAAGGGACCACGCGGTATCTGGTCACAATCATGTCCTTAAGCACACAAGTCCCACACAAAGCACGTGATCTGCACTCAATACATATTTTGAGAAATTATGTGGAAGGCTAGTAAATAAACAACTACTTGAATGAGTGGATGATTTGCTTGTGCAATGCCCTCAAAAACGTCGTGGAAAAGACAGCCAGGATAGAATGCTGGCCGGCACTCATGTTCAAGCACCATCTGGGAACATGTATCTCTGCTCTGATCCTTGTCAGCCTGTCCTGGACAAGTAGGTGACTTAACTCCTCAAGCCTCATTTCCTCATGGGATGGACGTTGTATGTGCCTCTCAGATTCCCCCTCAGGGGAGGACTTGTTGTCCCCAGCTGGCGGACCCCCCCCAGATACTGCCTCAGAGGCACCTCACCTGAGGTCATGCCTGCCCACACACTCCAACGACAGATCAAGGTGGGATATGAAGGTTCTGGCCACTCTGGCCAGTGAACGACTCTGATCCCAAAGGTCCCTGTGAGGTCAGCTGAGTCATCATCAAGCAGGCATCACGGCTCCCCAGCTCCCCCTGCCCAGGCCTGCTTCCTTCCTCTCCCTTCCACAGGTGTTGATCCCAAAGGCACTCCCTAATAACCATCTTGAAATCTCAACTCCATCTCAATGGCTGCTTCCCAGAGGACCTAAACTATGGCTCCCTCGTTAGCAAAAGAGAGATAATAATAAGTATACACAAGGGCTATCGTGAGGACTGAGTTGCTATGTGTAAAAGCATCCAGCTTTTAGCAAATGCTGGATGACAGTGAGCCAACTTTGTTATGGGGTTAGTGAAGCCCAGTCCTTTCATCAGTATTCCCACCCTCACTGGCAGGAAACCAGAGAGAAAATGTCAGTGTCTCAGCTTGATCTGTGGTTAAGAGAAGTAGTGGAAGAAAGGAGAGAAGGAAGGAAGGAAGGAAGGAAGGAAGGGAAGGAGGGAGGGAGGGAGGGAGGGAGGACATGTCTGGATGTGGCCCTGTGTGCATCCCTCAGACTGGCCTCCAACCCACCCTGTAGGAACCTCTCCACAGAGAGGGTCAAATCAAAGGACTGGGCCGTCAGGATCCCTGCAGAAGATGAGGGCTACGCTGCGATGGTAGAAAGCACAACCCTGGGAGCAGGCAGACAGGTGGCAACACCCGGACCACCATGTCTGGGTCCCAGCACCACTACCACCCAGCCCAGAGCCAATGGAGGGAATCACTGTACCAGACACAAAGAGGGGAGCCCAGAGACGCAAGAAGAAAGCAAAGATCAGCTAGAGACACAGCAGCCACAGTCTCCTGCTACCCAGAGTGCTGAGGCCCTGTCCCCTGCAATCCCACCAATAAGTCCCTGAACCTCCAGGGAAGTATTTGAACCTGAGCTTGCGAGGGTTTCCACTGCGGAGGGAGGGAGGGAGGAGGGGTGTGTTAGTGTTACAGGGATGGCCTGGTGACGTGTGGGTTGGCACCCTGAGGCCTAGAGAGACCTTCCTTCCTGGACCCCAGCACCTACACGACCTTTAAAAGCACTTACGACTGACACCCTGTTACAGACAATAAAGCTGGTGCTCGGACAGGTTAGGCGGCAGCCAGAGTCACACAGCTGATAGGAAGCGGAGCTGGGATTTGAGCCCAAGTCTGATTCCAAGGCCTATATGCTTTCAACCACTTAGAGTTCCCGCATTACAGTTTCCAAGAGTAGGGTTTTGTGCTTTGGCTTGTCTGTTTTATTATTTTTAAATACGAAGACCTCCCAGGAGATTCAGACACAGTCAGTGTTGAGAGAACTATCACACACCTTCCTGTCGCCCACACCAGTTCAGCTCAGGATCCCAACCCCTGGCCTCAGACTCAGTGGCTCCCTGCCCTCTGTTCTCTTCCAGGAGCCTGCACCTAGGAAAGCTCTATTTGATGCTATTTACCTTTAAGGATCTCAAATACCAAAGGCCTAACGCACAGGATTCACCCAGGCTGTGAGATGATCCCACACAACTTGACCATATTTATTTATTTTGTACATTGAGGTGAACAATGGCACTCCAGAGTGAAATTCAGCCTCACTGGAACACAACAAAAAGTCAATTATCCAGCATTAATTATTTATCTGGAGACAATAACCACGGTGCTGTTCCCCACGAGAGAGGCTACAGCTTGGAGCAAGAGGAAAGTAGAGGTGGCTGCTATTGTCTGCCCATAATGTGGCATCAGATCAGACAAATGGACCCCTCTGACGTCCTGTAAATACACATGAGCCTCCGCTGTGAATGTAGCTCATGCACATGCCTCTAGAACACAGACGATTAATAGGGTGGTAGAGGATTAATAGGATTCGATTCCCCCAATATCCTGGGGAGGTCTGCCCTGGCAATGCCAAGCTATGACTATATGAAAGGAAATACCACCTTCTCTCTGCAGCCTGCCCTGCTCTAACAGAACTGTAAGGTTGAAGACATTCTAAACAAACATTTTTGCAGGTTGCAGTGTTTGTGGAACCATATTAGTCTGCTGTTTTCCTCCCAAGGTATTTACTGTACAATATAAGTTAGAAAACCTGTCCTGACTGACTCGAAAAGCATAGTGATCTGATTCCTAAATCATTTTTATGTAATTTAACTTTCTTTTATCTTTAAAAATTCTGAGGAGCTTGGAAGAGAGAGATCAGTGGTTCCCAGGGGCTGAAAGAGTGCCAGGATGTGATCTACCTTGGCTCCGTATTCTCTAGTCCGGGGACATACTCTTTATTTAAAGATGTTAATGTTGATTGAGCAGTACTTACTCTTTATTTAAAGAAGAAGTTAACGTTGATTGAGCAGTTTCTATGTTTCAGGCAGGTGATTTATATATCTTTATACATCTTTATAAAGTCTCATCACAACCCGATGAGGTAAGTATAAATATCTCCATTTCATAGATCAATAAACTGAAGCCCGAGGTCACAGCTAATAAGTAGCGGAACCAAGAATCAAGTTTGGGTGGAGTGGGTCCCAACTCCTAACCACCGTCCTAAACAGCCCTGTGATGACAGCTTCCCCAGCCCCCAGCACAGCCTCTGGTCTGACCATCCCAACACCCATGAGTTCTGTGGAGGTGTCCCAAAGCCCTATTGCCACAGCTGCTGCTGCCCATCTGGATACACAGTTTCCAACCTACTACCTGGGCAGGACAGGTGATGGAAAGACTAAGATTCCTCTTCATCTAGAACGGTTCCACTCTTTTCTGATTATAAAATAATACTCAAAAATCAAACAAACAATATAGAAATGCATGATGTAAATAAGTTGAAACCCCCTGCAATTCAGGTGAGGGGTTAGTAGAGATTAGATGGTAGTGGTACCGTATATATTTAAAGCAAAATACTACAGAACAAAACAATGATTTAACGGCCCTGCAAGTGCTACTTGGATTCTGCTGCCTCGAAACATCCCCGTCAAAATGTCTGAGCAAGGAATGAAGGGCTAAGTTTGAGCCTTGAGCGCTCAAACTGCAAAGTTCCTCCATAGATCAAACCTGCATTAGAGTGACCAACCATCCCAGTTTGCCCAGGACCAAGGAGTTTCCAGGCACACAGGAATCTCAGAGCCAAAATCAGGACAGTCCCAGGCAAACCGGGACAGTTGGTCATCACAGATTTGCTGCCCTGGTGCCTCCACCTTTGCTTCTGTCTCAGGCCTCCAGGACCAGTCATGTCAGATCTACACCTGCTTCCCCATCCCTTTCACCTGTGTGAAGGCAGCTCTAGAGCCTCAGGTCTTTCCTTCCCAGCTCATCATCCGGGCCTCACCTGCTGCTCAGTGTACTCCTCCCCCACCCTCCCCACACTGCCGCTCAGGGCAACAAGTGCTTCCCAAGGATCAGCTCTGTGCCCACTCCTGTCCCTGGTGCTCTGAGAGGAAGCCACCTAATGGTAGGCTGACCTCTTCCAAGAGGCTCAGAGAGGCCACTTCCCCCAGTGACTCCAGCCTCCTGGCCCTGGCGGGATCCACAGCTGCCTCTGGGGTCCCCTATCTTAGCAGCACACTTCACTTGACACTTTGCTTCATTGTCTGCCTGGATCTTAAACTAGCTCCTTGGGGCAGGATGTGGCTGACTCCTCTGTGCCCCAGGGCCCAGTTCCATTTGTATTTGCGGAGTGACTGTGGCATCCCCGATACCTCGTCCTAAGCCTCCTCCCCAGCACAGTGCACGGACAGAAGGGGCCACCTGCAAACCTCAGGATCCTGGGGCTTGGCCTCAGCCAGAGTCCAGATGGGGCAGGCCTTGCCCTGAGACACAGCAGTGGGACTTACCGCTGACCCGGCAGGGGGATGGAGTCCAGGTGGCGGCCTCCAGGCAGCGCCATCATGTTGACGCCAATCTGCAGCAAAGCCTGCCCACAGCGGTCGGGGCCCTGGAGAGAGAAGGCAGAGTGGGGTCAACAAGGGCCGCCCGAGTGAGGAGGCGCAATCATTTTCTCTCCCAAATCCTGGCCACAGGGATTCATCTCAGGTGTGGAGGGAAGGCCCCCTGGCCCTCCTCTGCTGTTTCAACCAGTTTATACTCCACTATCCTCACACAAGCAATGCAGTACTCAGGTCTGATCTTGATTCTAAGCCCCTAGAGCCCACTATGAACCCCTAGAATCTTTTCTTATGTCTCATGGCCCAAAACGTACCTAACGCATTTTGCTTTGCACCAAATATTGGGACACATAGACTAGCAAATATTGCATAGGACATACTTATACTTAAAACGTTTAGAGTTTACCTGAAATTCACATTTTACTGGGCATCCTGTATTATTAGCTAAATCTGGCAACTCTCTATGCTAATTCCCTAACTATCAATATATACTGTGACAGTACTAGGTCCTTCACTTTGCTTATGCCTGGGAAATGTGACCCTGTAATAGGCATGGTGGTTGCTTCCCCAAATCCATTCCACTTTAGATGATGTAATTTCACGCAAACTGCCAGGAATCGGTTTAGGAATAGGCATGTGACTCAATTAAAGCCAATGAGCCATGACAGAATTGCTTCTAGGAAAAGTTAACTTTGTCCTTAACTGCAAGCCAGACACAAGATGAGGTAGTATCTCTCCCATTGGACCTGAACAAGGAAGCACGTCGCTCCATTGCTGCTAGAGACCATCTTGCAATCAAAAGGGGACCCAGCTGGAGAAGAAAGAAGGCACCAGAGGAAAAACACCTGCATTCTTGATCACTGAGCCACTCAATCAACCAGTGCTGAGTCTGGCCCATCTCTGGGCTTCCTAGTATGTAAAGTATAAACTTCTTGTCTAAGTGAGGATTTTGGTTTAGTATACCCAAAAGCAGCCTAACTGATAAAGGCAATCCAGGTTCCGGGGCCTCCAATCCCAGCACTGAGCACCCACTTGGCTTGCCTGTGCCTCCTAGGTTAGACCAAGACAACAGTGTTCTTCTTCCTCCATACAATCAGCTGCCCACCTGTTTGTCTCCTGCCTCGAAATCCCATCTCCATTCTTCCCTCTCTGCCACCTCTTTCTCCAAGCGAGTGAAGAAGCCCTCCTTGGGGAAAATGGAGATTCTGTCACCTTTGCCTGGGTAAAGCAATGGTCAAGAGATGGTTGTCTGTCACTTGTCATATCCTGAGCTTGAGGACAGCAGATTTCAAGACATTCAGAGAAAACACAAGTCTGAACTTGTGGGAGGATACAGCTGAGGAGGGCAGCAATTCAAGCCCAGAAAAACTAAACTCTTACATTATGATTAAAAGTGACCCTTATGAGAAAAGAACGGAGGAGGACTTTAATTAACAGTGATGTGGCTGGACATAAAGTACCCCTTGTGATGCTTGGAACAAAAGACAAAAAATGTGAATCTGAAAAGTACAGGGAGGAAGAAGCCCAGAATAAACTAGGGCTTTAGATCATTCCAGAGACTCACTGTCACTGCCTGTTCCCTGTTCTGCAGACGCCACTAGACTGTGAGACCCTGGATGGCAGGGACCACTTGGTTTCAAGGGCTGGGCACTTAGCAAACACTAGATATGTCTATAGAAATAATGAGTGGAATGAAATTTTAATACATTTATGTTGAGCCCTAATTCTTCATCTGCAACTGAGAATAATAGTATCTGTTTTACAGGGCTATTATAACAATGACATAAGATCAGGAATGCAGAAGTGTCAGGCGAGATTGAGAGCTAAATAAATAGTTATTATTATGTCCTGAGAGTCTGCGCTGTGTTCAGTCCTGTGGTCAGCTTTGCCAGGGGAGATGCATAAAATTAGATACAGCATAAAAAGCACCTAGCACAATAACAGTGCTCCACGAGGCCTCTTTATCATCAGGAGTATAATTAGTTTTATTACTTTCATTATTTTCATTATTGAGAAGGTATATTTTTGGAAGCCAGTGAGTAAGCAGCCTGAAGAGAATGGCACAAAAGAAAAAAGCTAGAAACAACAAGATGAGGTATTTGTTCCGTTTTCAATGAGTCTGATGAAAGAACCAAAAAGGGAAATACCACCCTCTCAGAGTGAATGCTTTGATGTGATCAGAGTTCAGTGAGCAAGCAGATCTTATTTTAGCTCCATCTTCATCATGGAGAAGAAAGAGGGCAGAGCAAAAAGGTTGAGGCAAGTGACAGTAAGGAAAGTTTAAGGACGCAGGAAGTTCCAAGGCCCTTTAAAGTGTGAACAAGTTAGGATTCTGTGAGCACACCCTAGAATACTGGAGGACCTCCTGGATCTGATCAAGTCGTATCTGAGGGACCCTGAGAAAGGGTCCCTGAATGCAGGAGAATATTCTGATTTTCCAAGAGGTAGATTCCAGAAACACATCTTGGTGACCACGAAATTCTAGAACAGATTCCTAATCACTGGCCTATGAGCCCGTCAGGGAGAAGCCGGCTAGAACCCAGATGGAACAAATCACGCTCAAACAATTTCTTCCTTTTCATTAGCAACCGCTGGGCTCTCAGCTGAGGGGGATGCAGTAAACCTAATATATCTTGATTTTGTTAAAACATCCGGCTGAGATGTCCTCATTCCTCCATGTCATCCACAGCTTCCCAGCAGTTAGGCCAGTGGAGGCTGCCTGCTAACAAAACCTTGGGTCATGTGATGGCACGTGTTCCCAGAGGCTGGAGAGCCCTCCTGGGGACATCTGGGCTGCACGTGTATCACTGCCCTATGCACAGACTGTATTATTTATGCCTCTTTCCCTCAATGGGACAAACTCCCGGATGTCTGAAACCCCATCTTTCTCAGTGTGGGACTGTGCACCTACATGGTTGAAGCTGGGATTGTGAATCAGATTAGCTCTCAGAGGAGCCACAGCTCATATTTACTGTGTATGGGGAACAGGTAAGACAGAAAATCTGGAAGGTGAGATAGGGACTATCAAGAGCTAATCTGGCTGATGTTATAAAAGTGCAAAGAATAATAATTGCTAATATCTTTTGAGTGTGTACTATGTGCCAGGCTCTGTTCTAAATGCTTCATATAGTATTAACTCATTTAGTACTATCATCATCCCCTTGTTGCAGACGAGACCTCTGAAATTCAGGGGAACTACGTGCACTGCCCCAGATCACACAGCTAGTAGGTGACAGAGGGCTGGTATCCAGGTTTTATGATCAGAGGGGAGATGAGGTGCTGGAGCAGGTGAAGGTGATAAGCGCAACAAAAGTGACACAGGTCCAGCATTTGCTAACTGGAAGCCTGACTCCATTCCATGGGGGCAACACCCAGCCCCTACCCTTCACACACAGATGAGCCCTCTTCCCTCTCACCAGCGCCTCCCACTGCTCCCACCTCCGAAACCATGAGTCCTCCAGCTTCATTAAGTGTCGGACCTCAGTGACACAGCCAGAGGACAGAACAGTGCTCAAAAAATGAAGCATCCAAACACTGCACCCAAATGGTGGGAGGAAGAGGGGCACAGACAGTGGGGGCATCTCTCCAGTTGCTCATTGGCTGGTTCCTCTGGTGAGTCGTAAGGACAGAGTTATGGGTCCTAAAGGGATCAGGGGATGGGAAGCCACAGTCCCAGCTAAAGCCTAAAGTGTCACCAGCTTTCGAAGTGACAGAGCGGCATGGACATATATACACTACACAATGGAAAATAGATAGCTAGTGGGAAGCAGCCACATAGCACAGGGAGATCAGCTCGGTGCTTTGTGACCACCTAGAGGGGTGGGATGGGGAGGGTGGGAGGGAGACGCAAGAGGGAGGAGATACGGGGATATATGTATACATATAGCTGATTTACTTTATTATAAAGCAGAAACTAACACACCATTGTAAAGCAATTATACTCCAATAAAGATGTTAAACATAAATAAATAAAGTGTCACCAGCTTTGTAGAGAGACCTGTTTCAAGCGTGCTGGGTGGCTGCCCCCTCCCACTGCCCTAAGCCAGACTCAACCTATTGAGCAGAGAGAGTAGAACCCCTCCAAAACTGCTCAGCAAGTCAGGAAACCAAGAATGAATTCAAGGTAACCCCTCTGCCCCATGCCATCTGTCCTCCCTGGTATTGCAGAATGAACTTGAACTTTGGAGTCTGGTAGATCTGGATTCAAATCCTGATTCTGTGCCTGGTAAGTACATGACCTTGGGAAAAGCATCAACCCTCATGAATGTGGTTTCTCTGATTATATCGGCCTCCTAGGAGCCTCATGCACATTAAATGAGATCACTCATAAAACTCCCTTATAGATTAATATAATATAATATAATATAATTCAATGTAATATATCATGCACTTGGCACGTGCTAGCCTCAAAGTGGGAGTACACTTCCTCATGGAAGGAAGAGCTGAGAAATATATCTCAGGCAGAGGTGCTACCTTGCCCACGAGAGAGGTGAAAAGGACACCTGCAGGAGTGAGCAGGAAAGAGGAAACTCCATCACCTCCACCCCCAGCCCAAGGGCCTTCCTAATTCATTGGAAATCCTACCCCGGAGTTGGCAGCCTGGGTTCTGCAGGGCTCTTGGCTGTGTCTCCCCACCAGGAGTGGCTCATTTTCAAGAAAGACTTGAAGCCTTAAGTGTCTCTGATTTAATTCAATGCCTGCTGGGACAACTGCTCATTTCTGCTCCTGCATCCCATTAGAGGCAGCCCTTGCTCACCTCCGTTTGGCTAAGGAGCCAGCTTGGGCTCTGGAGGAAATGAAGGCTATTTACAGTAAATTATTCAATTAGAACCAGGAGCAAGGGCGGCTTCTGGTTGTCTAATGGGCCAAGCCGAGTACAGCTCAAGGCAGGGCTGGGATTGTTTAATCTGCAGAATCCATTAGGGCTGTCAACGGGAGCAGAACAGCAAATATTGTGGGAAGCAGTTAAGCTCCAGCAGCAGCAATAGAGAGAAGAATGGGAACTGGGGAAGGGGGGTGGGGGGGAGGGTAGGAGAGGCACTGACCCAGG